AATTCGTTTTTATTATTCAGCATAATTCCCTTCAAGGATGATACACTCATTATAGCGATCCTCCAACTTTTCGATACCATTTTTGTAGTACGATTTGTCCTTTGCTTCAAAATAGGCCTCAGTTTCGGCGATCACCTCTTCATTCGACGAAAATTTTTTCCCAACGAGCATTCTTTTGAGATCTGAGAACAGGAAGTAGTCGCTGGGGGCCAGATCTGGAGAATACGGTGGATGCGGAAGCAATTCGAAGCCCAATTCATGAATTTTTGCCATCGTTTTCACTGACTTGTGAGACGGTGCATTGTCTTGGTGAAGCAGGACTTTCTTTTTCTGCAAATGCGGTCGTTTCTCGGCGATTTCGTCCTTCAAACGGTCCAATAACGCTATGTAATAGTCGCTGTTGATGGTCCTTCCTTTTTCAAGGTAGTCAATGAAAATTATTCCACGCGCATCCCAAAATACAGACGCCATAACCTTGCCAGCCGACTGTTGCGTTTTTGCACGCTTTGGAGCGGGTTCATCGTGTGCAGTCCACTCCGATGACTGTCGATTGGACTTCGGAGTGAAATGATGGAGCCATGTTTCATCCATTGTCACATATCGACGCAAAAACTCGGGTTTATTACGCGTGATCATCTTCAAACACTGCTCTGAATCATCAACTCGTCGTTGTTTTTGGTCAAAAGTGAGCTCGCGCGGCACCCACTTTGCACAGAGCTTTCTCATACCCAAATATTCGTGAATGATGTGATGTATACGTTCCGTTGATATCTGTAGAGTGTCTGCTATTTCATTCAATTTCAATTTACGGTCATTCAAAATCATTTTGTGGATTTTTTTAATGTTTTCGTCCGTAACAGCCTCTTTTGGGCGTCCACTGCGTTCACCGTCTTCGGTGCTCATTTCACCACGTCTAAACTTAGCATACCAATCCTTGATGGTTGATTTTCCTGGGGCAGTGTCCGGAAATTCGTTATCAAGCCAAGTTTTTGCTTCAACTGTATTTTTTCCCTTCAAAAAGCAATATTTTATCAACACGCGAAATTCCTTTTTATCCATTTTTTTCACAATAACAAAAGTTGCTTCACTAAAAATGCTATAATTCTCAAACTAATGATCCGACAGCCGTCAAATTTATAGACGCGTCTTTTGAAGGTAAGGACTAACTGAAAATCATATGGATTTAGTTCTGGTGCCGCCATCTATGTGTCAGGCCGGGGACTTTTCAATTGACCCTATAGATATCCACACAAGTGGACCTTGTTGGAGCATACGTAATTTGTAGTATATCCTATACATTATCAACAACTAGCGCAGCAAATTTTGTTTTTGAGTGCCATTGAGTGGAATTGAATTCACAAATCAACAGTTTTAACAATTTTTAGTCTGAGTTCTGTATGTCAAATTTTGATTTCAGATGCCTAACTAATGAAAGATAAAATATTTTTATATACTACAGTTTGCTTTTAAAATTTCGAATTCTAAGTAAAATCTCTTTTTCAATATTAATTATTGTATAAGTATCTATATGTAAAAGGAAAATAAAATTTAATTGATACGTTTACATCATTTTTAATTCCAACTACAAATGCAAAAAATTATGCAAATAAGTTTTACAAATGCATTTTTTTGATATTTTTTCTGTGTAAATACGAATTTACCGTATCAGCGTCTAAATGTAAGCACCCATCATGTTGTCATTATTTTGTTCTTGATAACGTTGTTCAGAAACCATCACATATCAGTGAAAGTTATCTCTGAATTGATCCAAATGAGCATATATCATATCTACTCTAAGCGACATTCTGGAACCCATGAGTTTGATGTAATGAAGTACATTGGAAATAAGCTCTTTGTAGTTCAGCTTTTTTATTGCCACGCTTCTTTTTTGTGACTGTTCAGTAACTATAGGAATTCTTCTAGTTTCTTTATTTGAAGACCGACGAAAATACCAGCTTTAATTTTAACTTCTGACAATTTAGAGAAAAAACTTTAAATGCTAAAAACTTGAGAGTCTTGACGAAAAGCCTTTATAAATGCAACAAATGTGAAATATGTCAGCTCTTCTATCCCAAAAGCAAAGGTACCATGGATATTTAGTGTATCTGCCACTGACCAGACACGCTTTTCAATTTTTAAAGTTTAAAGCACCATTTTATCATTTTCGCAATTTTCTTTGAACTGACAGAATGAGCCAAGGGATGAGATGGTAATTTACTCTGATACTCCCCGCTCTACACCCGCAATCTCCCCTAAAAATTATGGAAATATTTTATATATTTTTTTTATGGTCGTAGCTGCCGATAAAATATTTTTATATACTACAGTTTGCTTTTAAAATTTCGAATTCTAAGTAAAATCTCTTTTTCAATATTAATTATTGTATAAGTATCTATATGTAAAAGGAAAATAAACTTTAATTGATACGTTTACATCATTTTTAATTCCAACTACAAATGCAAAAAATTATGCAAATAAGTTTTACAAATGCATTTTTTTGATATTTTTTCTGTGTAAATACGAATTTACCGTATCAGCGTCTAAATGTAAGCACCCATCATGTTGTCATTATTTTGTTCTTGATAACGTTGTTCAGAAACCATCACATATCAGTGAAAGTTATCTCTGAATTGATCCAAATGAGCATATATCATATCTACTCTAAGCGACATTCTGGAACCCATGAGTTTGATGTAATGAAGTACATTGGAAATAAGCTCTTTGTAGTTCAGCTTTTTTATTGCCACGCTTCTTTTTTGTGACTGTTCAGTAACTATAGGAATTCTTCTAGTTTCTTTATTTGAAGACCGACGAAAATACCAGCTTTAATTTTAACTTCTGACAATTTAGAGAAAAAACTTTAAATGCTAAAAACTTGAGAGTCTTGACGAAAAGCCTTTATAAATGCAACAAATGTGAAATATGTCAGCTCTTCTATCCCAAAAGCAAAGGTACCATGGATATTTAGTGTATCTGCCACTGACCAGACACGCTTTTCAATTTTTAAAGTTTAAAGCACCATTTTATCATTTTCGCAATTTTCTTTGAACTGACAGAATGAGCCAAGGGATGAGATGGTAATTTACTCTGATACTCCCCGCTCTACACCCGCAATCTCCCCTAAAAATTATGGAAATATTTTATATATTTTTTTTATGGTCGTAGCTGCCGAAACAAATCTATCAAGATTTTTCCTTTGACTTTTTTTGAAAGCTATATCATGAGCAATGAGCACAATAAAATTTGTAGAAAGTCACTTGTATAAAAATAAATGCGGGTATAAAAGAGTAAAAAAGTTATACAAAGCTTTACAAAATACAAAGAATTGATGAAAACACATAGTTATTAGATTATTACTAAACATTTTGTGTTGGTATTAAATAAGTCGTACATTAAATAAACTAACTAAGGACAACCCGCTTTTCTTTGGCTTTATATTTTCACTTATTCTAAACAGATGTTCGCAAACCCAAAGAGTTGCCAGACTGAAGAAATCCTAAGCATTATAGATTTTAAACATTTTTTTAGGGTATTTTAGTTGAAATATAGAAAATGACCTAATTTAGAGTCAGAACCCAGCTCAATCACTCAAACATAATAGTCCTCGAACAATCTAGAATGTTCTAAATTCTTCTGATCTACTTCACTCTAGAACATTCTACTTGAAGACAAGCCTACCTATTCGGAAATATTCTAACTAAAGCCCACCTAGAAACATTAAACAGCATTGTAGTAAGAAAATACTACAAATGGCGCAGTAAACGCCATCTGTAGCCCGATGCTATATTTAGGATTACGTATGCTCCAACAAGGTCCGAGATCCAAAAAGATCGAAATCGCGATCCGCGTTTGGCAGTTTCGACAGAATACAGACCACTTCGAATTATTTTATTTAAGCATTGTAGTACATTCTCACTTAATTATTCTTAACTGGTGTTTGGTGACCAGTGGTCGACCCGTAAACACGCACATCAAACTGGAGTCGATTCGAACATTACAGAATATTCCAAACTTTTATAGAGTACATAGCCTGAAATATGAAAATGCCATAAGTCAACCAGTTTTAATCTACCTATCCCCTATCAGTTACCGACATGGAACCACCATAGTACGATGGGAGATTTGTGGCTACTACCACAAACAAACATCTATTCAGGAAATATATAGATTTTCCTAGGAAATGTGTCTAATATAATTTATTTCACATATTTCTGGGCGATTTTGAAATTATATATTTCCTAGGAATTGTATACAATAACGGATTACACACATTTCCATTAACATATACACCGTCTGATCAGTATTCCGGAATGTTTGAAGTGTAACATCTGGGGGCACTGTAAAGTACATCTTCTCATAGTACCGCAACGTAGGAGATCTAAAAAGTATGCACAAAAAATACCCCAGTTGACGAGCCGTTAATGATTGACAACAGCCACCGCGTTATCTTACCGGCTTTCAACGAAACACACATACCTATTCATGACCTTTGTAAACAGCTGATATGAAGAAGTCAGTTGTAGGTAATGATTAGTAATAATCTACACTAGTTAGCGTTCAATTGGCAAAATATTACCACAAAATACAAAAATAAGTTGATTGTGGAAATATCAAGCAAAAACCAATGCACTTATATACACAATATGCGGACATGCTGGTCACATATGGACGGCATAATGGGAATGTACCGATGGTATCATGCTAATACGCGTCATCATCATCATTGCTGGATCAGTTGGGACTTTCGGTAAGGTCACTCCCCTTGTGTTTATACATATCACTGAGTGATGAGAGATGACTCATTTTGTTTTTTTTTTCGTTCACCTTCTTTTCCCTTAATTTTTCCGGAATACTGATCTGACATATTTTATTGATTATTATGGTATATTATGAAATAATTGATCCTTAATATTTAGGGAGCAAAAAATTCGATTGTTTCTTAAAATTAGATTTTTCTTAATACAATTTTTGATACTATTTATTCTCTATTTCTTTTAAAGGATATCAATGCTCACGGCTCACTGACGGGCAATAGCAGCGATGTTGAAATAGGCGAAATTAGTATATCCGACATGAATCCAGATGATATTCGTGCCGAACTTAAAAGGCTCTACACTCAGTTAGAGATCTACAAAAACAAAACAATCCGAATGGATAATCCACACATATCAAAAAGAAGAGGTGGCCGTAAAGCTCCTCATAGGAAATTTAGTTTACAGGTATGTACAAAAAGTAAAATGAGAACATATTTGTTTTGGGTTATATTAATTATACCATAAGTATGCATTTGTTAGGGTAATTTAATGAAATCTTCCAAAACATCTTCTTAGCCTTTCAATATCATATAGAACAAATACTATAATTAATATACAGTGGAACTGCTGTAATTGGGATTTCCAAAGGACGGAAAGTCGATTTAGATTCATTTTCCTTCCGAAATTAACAAAAAATTATATTGGAAAATTGGATCTATTGAATCCTATTTTTTTGCAAGTAAGTTACATGCTTGATAACGTGTTAACGAAATAGCATTAAGCATTATAAGGAAAAAAACTATATATAACAATATACTTTATTAGCACTCTAGCATAGCTTAACAGAGATTACGGTAGAAACAATCTACCATTTTATTATAAATTCTACAGAAACATTATTAGGGAATATATGCTCATTTAATTCTTCTATATAGGCGGGGTATTACGATTTTTTCTGTCACGAAAAAGCGTTATGGCTGCTTGGAGGGTGTAGACGGTATATCGCGTGATGAGAGGCGGTAGCGGCAGAAGGAGAGACAGCGGCGGAGAGAGGGTAACGACTGTATTAGATGGATATTGCGCAGCCGCGCGGAGAGCGAGGAGTCCGCTAGAGTCCCAGCGGCGTGTGCTGCGCTCAGCTGTTATTTTCGTACCTCTACTTTCCACGTGGCTGAGCATCATTGCCTCTATTTGCGGTCTGTGTAAAAACCAAATCATAATTTGCAGTAAACCTGTAAAAACGAAATGTGTGCTGGGACACATAGTAGAAGTGAAACTTCAACGGACAAGTTAAAAACGAATGGTAACGGACAAGTGGAAAAACGAACCGCAACAAAATTTTTACTTCAAGCTTTACGGGCAGATTTTTAATGTAGGTACCTACCAAATTTGAAAACCGAACAAAATTTTTATTTGAAGTTTTACGATCAGTTCAAATTAGACTTTGTATACTAACAATCTGCCCGTAAAACTTGAAGTAAAAATTTTCTTGCGGTTCGTTTTTCCACTTGTCCGTTGAAGTTTCACTTCTACTATGTGTCCCAGCACACATTTCGTTTTTGAAAATCACTTCTGTGAGATAACCACCATCCTTTGTGATGTACTGGCGGAGTCGACAAATGAAACGATTCTTTAGTTTCACTAGCCTCAGAATTTTGCAGTTGAGGACACGTGGAGCAAACATTCCACTGTTAAAGCATCCTCACAGAAAGAAATCACAAGCACTCATAATCGAACCGAGGGATCTGGTTGGTCGCGATATGTCCCCAAACCATGAGATTATTCTACTAGCGAACACCATATGTTAAATTGTTATCGTAAATGCGCGTCTTGGTTCAAGGCTCTATTGATACTAAAACGGCTTCCTTCCTTCTCAGGAAGCAATAGAAATGCAATTCTAAATCTACGATACTATTTTGTTAGATGTACGAATTCAATAGGAATTAAGAATTCGTTAGATGTTAAGACGAAAGTAAGGAAATGCAATAATCCTCCCATTTAGTCAGCATAACTAATAAATGATTAATATAAAAAAATGTTACAAATAAATTAAGAAGGATTATGATTCGTAAAATTTAACAGCTTATCACCACAATAACTGTTTCACCATAGTTTCATCGAGTAACGGAGTACATATAATAGGATTACTGCTTTCCATTATACATTTAATTATCTAGCGGTATATCAGCTACTTAACTGAAATGAACTTGTTTTGTTTGTAGTTGTTTTTGAAACTAATGTTTCAAAAAAAAAATGTACCTCGACAATCATACCAATTTTCTTCATGAAGTAGGTACATAGTTTCTCCTATATAATTTTGTTGGTATGTCTGCGATCATTTCCTCTTATCTACAATAACTGTAATTAAAAATTCTTTTGCGCTTTTGGCTTCCTTTACGAAATCATCATCATCTTTGTATTAATGTTTTTCGTACTATGGTTGAAGGTTTTTGGTTTAAAATCGTTAGGCATCATCGATTGTCTTCATAAATTATTGTTGGTGGTCATGGGTGAAATTTCATAAAAATATATAATACAGCCGAATTGAGAACTGAACATAGGGTTAGTATATTATATGCAATCATCAAAGGATGTCACTGTTTTTTGAAAAATACAACAAGGTAGATATAATCAAATTTGTGCGAATGCTCTCATTCATCTTTTCTTAAGTTCAATAAATGGAATTTCAAGCTTTTCAGGAGTGTGACATTTTGCTCAAAAGATGTTTGGATAGTTTTCGACAGTTTTTAGAGAAGAAAGTGATATTTTCAGGTAGACGAGCTTAAAAAACCATATTCCACAAGTTCATGAAAGTACGTATTTTCGCTTGTGCAACATAAAAAGAAATATGTTTGTATATATTATGTTCGGTCTACAAGTACGGCAAAACGTTCGCTGAATACAGAAATTACTATTTTTATGGTATTTGTTTATCGTACAAGCGAAAATGCGTAATTTGATGAAGGTCTGTCTGAAGGTATCATCTGCTGAAAACTGTTCTACACCATCGAACTTTCAAGGCTTTGAAATAATGAGCATCTTCTCCCTAAAAAGCTTGAAGTTGCATTTATTGAACTTATATTTTTATATAAGGAGATATTTGAACGCATTTTCCTATTCCGTATACGCCGTATTTTTCAAAAGATAACGGCGCACTTTGATGATTGCATGCTAGAATATCTTTACGTTGAGTTTATATAGTTTTCAACTCAAAAATATCTATATTTCCGGTAAGGCTAAACTCCTATTTTGGATCTTTTGTGGCTTTTAATTATCGAGCCCTTTTTAATTCCATTCCATGCGCTGGCTTAATATTCACAAGTTGACTGTAAAGTGCTGAACAAAAATATCGATATATCTATAATTATCTATAACATTAATAACAATATATCGATATATCCGTAGTTATCGATATATCGATATATTATTATATAATTATAAAATATTA